AATTTAAAAATACTCTTATAATTAATTTATAATAATTTAACATGTATACATACATACCACAAGATAAGGATCCATAGTAAAAAAATAAATTTTAATATTTTTAAAATTTTTTAAGACAAAAATTATTGAAGAAATAAAATTATATATCTTATCTTACAAAATTATATAGCATACCATTCAAGGATAAAAAATATTTATTTTATTGAATAAGTCTATTCTGTGTTTCTGAAATCATTATCATGTATTATAATTTAACCTCTTATTATTGAATCATATATTTATTACTTAATTTGTTATTTTAAAATATAAAATATAAAATATTTTATATATTGCATTAAGACTTACAATATACTAAAAACAGATTTTGTAAGACTAAAACTATTGAAAAAATAAAATAAATATTAACTATATTTATAAATACTAAAAACATATCTTATCTTAAAAAATTATATAGCACACAATTTAGAAATAAAAAATATTAATTCTCTTATGCCTAGCAAATATGTCTGAGCATTATATATATATATATATATATATATATATAATTTAGTTATAAAATAATTATAATTAAATATAAAATTTATTATTTTTAATATAACAGAAAGAAAAAAAATATAAAATAAAAATTTTGATTATTTTTTAAAATAAATTATCTATTAAAAATAAATTTAACAGTTAAAAATAATTCATATGTGACTTTAAACATTAAAAATATTATTAATAATAATTTAATTATAAATTAATAAATATATTTATATGTCACATAAATTTGTTTATATTGTATATTAGTATATAATAATATTATAAATTATAATTTAAAAATAAAAAATATATAATAATAAAATTATATTATATTGAATAATATTAAATATAAATAGATTGAAAAATAAGATAAATAAATTTTCATATGCAAATTTTTATATACTTTATATATTTTAAAATTTCAATTAAGATTTAAATAGAAAGTAAAAGAGAAGAATAATTATATTGAATAAAAAAATAAATTCTTATATCAATTAAAATTATACATGTTGATATAATATAAAATTTATGAGTCACATATAAAAAATAGACAAATATTATGACAAATATAAAATTATACATGTTGATATAATAATATTTAAACTCTTTGAAAGTTTAAAATTAATTAGTATAGGTTACTATTATTACTAATAAAAATATTAGTTATTTGAAAGAAAGAAATATTAATGAAGGACTTAAATCAAAGTGTGATAAGAATTTTTCTAAAATAACTTAAAAGTTAAATTCATATATTCAAAATCTTGTTTACTCACATAACATTGGAAGAGAATAGTACAATGGTTCAAATATATTAAAATATCAGCAAATAACTTTATAACTAAACATTAAAAAAAAGCCACATATAAATAAAAATGAAATTAAATCCGTATAAATTAAACATTTAACTCCTTTTTAATGATGACCTTCTTTAAAGGCTTAGTCCTTGAATCTTGTGTTTGTGACTCCTCAACAATTGATGGACTCATTTCATCCTTATTCATTACCATCTTATAGGTTGCTTGGGAGTAGGAGCTACTTCAACAAAAACTATTTGGGAATCCTAAAACAATGTAAATTATAATCAATATTTAAACCAATATTTTTTAAAATATTGTTACTCATTTGAAGTCAATTCATTTACTACCTTCTTAATATCAATTATTTGCTCATCTTCAACATTACTCATGGTTAAGCGAGCACTTTCATTCAAAGTCTTCACGCTTCAAACATAATACAATTTTTTTTTTTAGAGATTTGACAATAAATAAATTTATCAATTGAAATTTCATTTCAATTTGAAGATGATTAAATTAATTCAAAACAAATTACAACCTTCAAATTGCCAGCATTTTGAGTTGACAAAGTATCTCTGAATCTTCTTCTACTTCATCATCGTTCCATTAATATGCAAGATTTAATTATTTTATTTTGAAATCAAAATTTGACACCTTTATTTCAATCATTAATAATTTTAAAAATATACCTTAATACCATGCAATGACTTAAACTAGTCAATTAGATCAACACTATTAACAAATTTCTTAATATTGTATGAAACCCAATTGGCATTTAAATTTACTTAAGTAATTTTAACTTTGAATAGAAAGAACTTGAATAACATTGTATCAATCTCAGGAGGAAATCCATTAGTCACATTTGCCTATAAGAGTAGAAAGCTATTTTAAAAATATTATAGATTAAAACAAATATAAAAGATTAAATAAAATCAACATCAACACAATCCACCTCAGTCATCTCTGTTTTCAATTGTTTTTCAAACTTTCCAATAAACTGTGATAGGCGATTTTCAAATATTGTTAAAGAAGCAGATCTAGTAGAATCTATAACATTAACATGCAGCTTAAACCTAGAAAAAAATAATTGGTCATAAGTTCACTAAATATTTTACTAAATTAGTTTTAAATTGAATATATAGTTTATAAGTAGTAATGTTTATACCTGGGAGTAGGAATGATATATTTCTGGCAATTTTCACAAAAAAACTTATGTCCATTTACTTTCAGCTTCTTGAAATGCTTGTTACATGAGTCATATTGTCGTCCCTTCTCATATTCAATTTTAATAACTTGGGCAAGAACAACAACAAATCCAACCTTTTCAAAGTGAAATTCAAATTATGACTTTTATAGATTTTAAAAATAATTATATGCATTTTACTTCATTATTTCAATACAAAACATATGTAACGCCTCAAATTTTGTAATATAGTTGATTATTAATATAAATGTTTGCGTTGACTTTTCTGTGTAGTGTATTTATATTTGTAGATGATTGGACTGAATTTTGGCTAAGTATTCTGGTGCAGAGTGTTCTCGCTGCAACGAGAGATGTCTCGTTGTAGCGAAAGGGCACTGGGAGAGAAGGATGAAACTGTTGCCTTGTCGCTGTAGCGAGAGGTCCCTCGCTGTAGTGACAAAGCCACAGTTTGGAATGCATTTCTGGGTGCAGTCTCGCTGTAGCGAGATTCTATAGAAACCAGAATGCAGTTTTGTATGAGTTTTTCACTGTAGCAAGGGAGGCTGTCATTGCAGCGAGGTCCCCTCGCTGTAGCGAAAGTGTCATGACCAGAGAGAATTTAAAAGGGGTTAGGGTTCGAGAAAGGTTATTTTCTCACCTTCTGATAAGTCTATAATTAGGCCCTCTTTTATAGCCCATTTATTCATATTTGACATTTATTTGAATTGGGTTTTACACTAATTTAGTTGTTAATTGAGCAGTTTGATATAAAGAGGTCACGAGTAGATTTTGGGTACATTTTGGGCCCAAATGAATGGGTTTTAATGCCTCACAGCAATAAGCACGCCCGGTGAAGCACAGGGGTGCTTCGATGATATGCACGACTGTGCTGCACCATCATGCACGGCTGTGTTTTCTTCTGTTAGCCAAACTTACCAAGTTCAAAGGAGTTAAAACTTCTATAAATAGAGGGGAGAAAGCATCGTAAAGGGGACCGTTGTTGAGCATAGATTTACACAGAGCCTTTTCTTCAAGATTTTGGATCATTTCCACCTTTCTCGCAGGATCGTTGACATATCCTTGGCAGAACTTAGAGCTTCAAGTGACCATACTTGAAGATTGAAGATTCATCTCCTATTCTAGTTTGCTTTACTGCTTCATTATGGATATGTTATTGATTGCTTTAGTTCTTTCTTTATACATGAGTAGCTAAATCCATAGCTAGGGCTATAAGAATTATCGTTTATGACTTTATGGGATTTTGATATTTGAATTTAAATATGATTTCCGCTTTGTGATTAGAATTTATCTTATCGTTTCTTATTTTTAACCCTAATTAATTACATTGTCAGGCGATCGTACCTCAGGTAATTAATAGATCTATAGGATAAAACGAGACGAAAGATTAGGTAGACCAAACCGATCTTCATCTTCTAATCGTTATTCAATTAACAAATTCATAGGCTCTTTAGGCTTTTTCCAAATTAATAACCTGCATGACCATTGGGGATATTAACTTAGAGAAAAGAATATTAATGCTGTATGACCATTGGGTATTAATAGTATTAGTATGAATGATTAGTAATCACTAGGAAATCAGATTTAGATCCAAATAGAAAAATATCATAAAAGATTGAATGAGAACACCCATACGCCCTAGGTTCCTCTCTGATAAAGTTTAACCAAAACGTGCTTTGTATTTCTTGCTCTTAGTTTTTATAATTAATTTTATAAGTTCTTGTTTTGATTAATCTCGCATATTTGAAGCTCAAAAAATTAAATTAGAAAAACTCTTAGTAGTTGATAAACAATCCTTGTGGGACGATATTTCGGGAACTTAGTTGAAAACCCTTTATTACTTCTCGATGGCTATACTTGCCCTCCGAACAAGTTTTTGGCGCCGTTGCCGGGGATTGATTTTTCAATATTAAGAAAATCTTGAATTCAATTGATTTGAGCAATTTGTGTTTTGTTTTATTTCATTTTGTTCATTGTTAGATTTTATTTATTTATTTATTTATTTTATTTTATTTCGTATTCATTTATTTACATTTTTTTATTTACTTTTAATGTATGCTCACTCGTTCTAAGTGTTTTACAACTTATTTGTTTGATCCAAAAATTGAAAGGACAGTTCGTAGACAAAGAAAAGAAGTGAGAGACCAAAGAATGGCAGAGGGAAAGATATCGATCCAAGATTACATGACGCCCAATGCCAGAGGCACTCCTGGAAGTATCGCGGCACCTAACGTGGAGGCAAACAATTTTGAGTTGAAACCATGGTTCAGAACTCCATACAATTTGGGAGCATGCCTAACGAAGACCCCAATCTGCATCTGACAAAGTTCCTCCGATTGACGGACACCATAAAATACAACGGAGTCTCCAACGATGCAATTCGACTCTGCCTGTTTCCATTTTTAGTGTCCAATTCCATCACAACTTAGGAGGATCTCACTTAACAGTTCTTGGGAAAGTACTTTCCTCCATCAAGATCTTCCAAGTTGATGACAGAAATATGTTGCTTTCAGCAGAATGAGTCAGAATAATTGTTCGAGACGTGGGAGCGATTTGGGGAATTATTGAGAAGATGCCCGCACCATGATTTTCCAACTTGGAGGCAGGTGCAGATATTTTACAGTGGCTTATCCATCCATAACAGGGCCACGATTGATGCTGTTGTAGGAGGATCTCTTATAAGGAAAGACCCAGATGACGCATACAGATTGATAGACGAAATGACATCTGCTAGCTTTCAGTGGCACACAGCTGACACATATAACTTCAAGAGAAAGGAAGTTGCACTAGTCTATCAAGCAGAGAGCAGCAACCCACTGGTGAACCAAATGGCAACTCTCACAAAGCAACTAGAGTGCTTAATGAGAGCACAAGATCAACCCACAAAGACGACACATAATACAGAGTTTGATCAGGAGGAAGCAAACTTTATGGGTAATAATTATAACCCAGGATGGCGCAATAGTAATACAACTCCTTGGGGAATTCAAAATACGCCCTATCGACCTCCACAATCAATCTAATTTTGAAGAACAGATGATGCAATACGTGCATAGCTCTGATAAGAGAATAGCAAAACTTGAGGCCCAGATAAAACAACAGATTGAGAGGGAAGATAAGAGGTTTGTAGAAATCAGAGCTGAGATGAGGACTCAGTCTTCAAAACTTGAGTCCCAGTTGGAGCAGATCACTAGTGTCCTCAGTCAAAGAGCACTAGGAGCATTGCTGTCCCAACCAGAACTGAATCCTAGGGAAAAAGCTAAAGCAATTACTTTAAGAAGTGGGAAAAACTTGAGTGGAATGCAAACAAATAAACCATGCACGCCTGTGCTTGCTGATCAGCACGCCCCTGTACGCCCATGTTGGCTCAACAAGAACGACCGTGCTTTGAACAGCACGCCCATGCTAACAATGAATGCACGCACGTGCTTATGCCGAGCAAGGCCGTGCTTATAGAAAACACAGCCGTGCTAGATGATGAGCAAGTTCGTGCTTTCCAACCAGATACGAAGAAAGAAACAAAGGAAGATGCATTAGTAATGCCAAGGCCGAAAGTTCCATTCCCACAACGGTTGGTGGCTACCCAGAGAGACCCTCAGTTTAATAAATTTCTTGGGATCCTCAGAAAACTCCACATCAATATCCCTTTTGTTGAAGCCATCTCACAGATGCCTAAATATGATAAATTCCTCAAGGAGATGCTAAGCAATAAAAAGAAATTGGAAGAATTCGAGACAGTTAGATTGAATGAGGAGTGCTCAGCAATATTGCTAAGGAAGCTGCCACCTAAGCTTAAGGATCCAGGGAGTTTTACGATTCCATGTACTATAGGCAATTCTTATTTTGATAAAGCGCTCTGTGATCTAGGCGCTAGTATTAATCTAATGCCATTTTCTGTGTTTAGAAGGTTGGGTATGCAAGAACCCAAGCCAACTTCAATTTCTTTGCAGCTTGCTGATCGCTAGATAACGTATCCTAGGGGCATAGTAGAGGATGTCCTGGTCAAGGTGGATAAGTTCATATTCCCTGCAGATTTCATTGTCCTTGACATGGAAGAGGATGACGAAGTACCCATCATACTAGGAAGGCCTTTCCTAGCTACAGGAAGAACGATAATAGATGTTCAGCAAGGGAAGCTTACATTAAGATTGAACAAAGAGGAAGTAGTATTTAAAGTTTTAAATTCACTCAAGCATCCCTCCACTTTTGATTCTTGTAATTTTGTGTCAACTACAGATGCTACCTCCCTCTCCCTGAATGTGCCACAGGTACAAGATGGATTAATGAAAGATGTATTGGAGAGGATACTTACATCGGAAAGGAGGGATCTGCACGACACTGAAGAAATAATAGATGAGATCTTAGCATTGAACAGTGGGGTGCCTGGAAGATGATTTGGGCGAAGGATATTTGAAGATCTAGGAGAACACTCCCAGAAAAGAACCAAGCCATCAGTCAAAGAACCTCCTGAACTAGAACTCAAACCCCTTCCTTCGAATGTTAAATATGTTTTTTTACATCCTCCATCTCACTTACCTGTAATTATTTCTGCCAATTTGACAGGTAGCATGGAGGAGAAGCTTTTGAGAGTACTGAGAGAGAACAAGGAGGCTTTCGGGTGGAGCATCAATGACATTAAGGGCATCAGTCCTTCCATATGCACTCATAGAATCCACCTGGAGGAGGAGTTCAAACCAAAAGTACAACCCCAAAGGCGATTAAATCCTAATCTGAAAGAAGTAGTAAAAAAGGAGTTAATTAAGTTATTGGATGCTGATATCATATTCCCAATCTCTGATAGCCCTTGGGTAAGTCCGGTGCAGGTTATACCAAAGAAAGGAGGGACTACTGTTATGCAGAATGAGCAACAGGAGCTCATTGCCGTCAGAAAGGTAACCGGATGGAGGATGTGTATTGACTACAGGAAGCTTAATGAAGCCACCAGGAAGGATCACTTCCCTTTACCCTTTATTGATCAGATGATAGAAAAGTTAGCAGGGCATGAATATTACTGTTGTTTAGATGGCTATTCTGGTTATATGCAAATACCCATAGCTCTTGAAGATCAAGAAAAAACTACTTTTACATGCCCCTATGGTACATTTGCATATAAACGAATGCCATTTAGATTATGTAATGCCCCTGCTACCTTTCAAAGGTGTATGATGGCTTTATTTTCAGATTTGTTAGAGCATTGTATTGAGATTTTTATGGATGATTTTTCTGTATATGGCACCACATTTGATAGTTGTGTACATAACTTGAATTTAGTTTTATAGAGATGCAGGAAGGCCAATTTGATTTTAAATTGGGAGAAATGCCAATTTATGGTTAATGAATGCATTGTTTTGGGGCACAATGTGTCAGGAAAAGGTATTGAAGTAGACCCTGCCAAGATTGAGGTTATTTCTAAACTACCTCCCCCTACAAGTGTTAAGGCAGTCAGAAGTTTTGTAGGGCATGCTGGGTTCTATAGGAGGTTTATACAAAACTTCTCAAAAATAGCAAAACCTCTTTCTGAATTGTTGGCTAAAGATGTAGAATTTAAATTTGATGAAACATGTTTATCTGCCTTCATGAAATTAAAAGAGAAATTAACAATTGCTCCTGTGATTGTAGCTCCTGACTGGTCTTTACCTTTTGAGCTAATGTGTGATGCTAGTGATGCAGCTGTGGGAGCAGTTCTAGGGCAAAGGCGAGATAAGGTGTTTCAGGCCATTTACTATGCAAGTAAAACCTTGAACAACGCTCAGCGTAATTACACTATTACAAAGAAGGAATTACTTGTTGTTATCTTTGCATTTGATAAATTCTGTTCTTATTTGATAATGTCCAGAGTTGTTGTCTTTACTGACCATTATGCTATCAAGTATTTGTTGTCAAAACAGGATGCTAAACCAAGGATTATACGATGGATCCTTCTCCTCCTGGAGTTTAATGTAGAGATTAGAGACAAGAAAGGGAGTGAGAATGTCGTAGGAGATCATTTGTCTCGACTGGATGCTTTAGTGAGGGAACCCACAGTGAAGGAGATCAAGGATTCTTTTCCTGATGAAAGGCTCCTCGCCATCTCTAGGACACCTTGGTATGCAGATTTTGTAAATTATCTGGAAGGTAATTGATGGCACGAGTTTTTGCTACTCGTTATGCACAAAGATTGTCGTTAATCCTCATCAAATATGCAAAGAAATGAATGCAGTACTAAGGTGTTGTCCTAGGTCGTCTCCAAGGAATTTTTAGTTGGGAACATACATCGAACAAGTATAAACATAGATTTTAAAGCAAGTAAATTGGGGGGAGGTTTGTCAATTTCCAGATTTTAATCAACAGCAAATGTAAACTAGTGAAATTCAATCAATTAAGAAGAGTAATCCCTAGTCAATCAATGAGTTCTATCCCTATTCTTTCAAATGATTCAATAATTTCCTTTTCTTCCCTTGAATTAAGTTAATCTAACAAGCAAAAATTAACTTTAGCATCCCAATTAAAATTAAGCAATCTTAATGGGCTCCAATCTCTATCCCTAAGATTAAGCCATCTCAAAGATTAATCAAAATATTTTTGTATTTTATCTAGTACGGTGCAGGAAAAGTAAGCTACAAATAAATGCAAAATAGAGACAAAGAGTTCACCCCCCTTTAATAGATGACGTACTCAAAGTTCAGGGGCACAATAATGCTCCTCTTGATGGAATTGAGGGCATCTAAGCAGAGAAAGAAAAGAAAACACGAAAGGTGGACTAAGTGGCATCTTCATCAGAGGTGGATGAGGTGGCTTCCTCATCTTCCTCTACTTCTTCTGCTTCCTCTGAGGAACTGGAGCTGGGGGCATCTCTGGGAACATGGGGATTGAATGGAGGCAGGTCATTCTGAACAGCAGCTCTAAGGAAAGGGCCAAGGAAACGGGGGGCATAATAGATCTGGTCTGAAGTCATCCCCATCTTCTTGCCAATGTTCAGCATCATGGTCTCCATGAGGAGGAGCATGCTGTTTTGACCAGAGTGGATGGCAGTCTGCCGCTTTGCTATTTGTTGTAGCTGCTCCCTGATTGTTACAGGGTCTCCTTCTTGTATTCTGCCGGCAGAGTGAGGCCTGGGTCTGAAGACTTCTTTGGCTTAAATAGGTCCTTCACCAAGGTAGTGGAAATGGGGGGAGTGCTCTAACTCTCTGTTGGTAGTCTCCAAAATCAACACCTGCATCCTGGCACAATAGAGTGATTAGAGAGGGAAAAGCTAGAGAATCTCTGCTCCTTTTAAGGACTTCCAGCATGGCGCTGCTGATGACCTCCCCAACATGGATGGGCATGCCAGTGAGAATAGCATAGATGAGTTCTGCCCTCTTCACTGCAATGGTGGAGGTGTGGATGACTTGCATGAATGAGCTGACAACGAAGATACTCCACACCTTGGCAGCAGGGAGAAGGTGTTTGATGGTCAGATTCTTGGGCTGCATTTTACAATCAAATTCCTAATTTTCTCCTTCAATGCAGATTGTTTGAAGTATAGGCTGGTAATCTTTTTCCTTCTGTTTGTAGAATGCAATGAAATCCAACTGGCCAGGTTGCTTCTGCAGAGGAGGGATGTTTAAAACC